AAAAGAGCTTAAAAATGCATTATGTGCTAAGCATTCTTTTCTACATCTGACGTGGGGCCAGAGACAGGACTGTGAGGCAGGATCTTGCCAAGAAATTGGAAACAAGGGGAATAAAAGTGATTTCTAAAAGTTAAACTGTTAATCAACATTTAATGGATTAGGACAGAGAAATGAGAAATCACTGAAAGGGGACAAAAGAGCTTCAAGGCCAGCAAGATGTTGCTGTGACCCCCAAAAGTACAATACACGAATCTAAAGACTAGATTGATCAGTCATAGAGTCATAGAAAAAGAACGGTGGCTCCGTCGAGACTGGAGTGAGTCCTGCCCAGTCGAGTCGGGATTACAAAGACCCACGAAAAGGAGTCTCTGTTGTGAAAATGAATGCATCACTTTACCCTAGCTTGATTACCATCTAACATTACCTGGGTTGGCCTGTCTTATTCATAATGGAAAGCTCAGCATTGAGCATACTGCCTAGCCTAGAGCAGGTAATCATTAGATGTGTGTTTAGTGAATTTGAATGGCTCCAACTCTTTGCTAGTTCAACAACTTCCTGATTATAATTTAGCTCCCCACATAGTTCTGTCTACAGGGAGAAAATAACCTAGTCTTGTGGATTTGAGAGTTCTGGTGCCCATGCCAGCTACACAACTCATTGAAATGTAGAGATTAGTCTCTGAGCTTGTTTACTTTGAGTCTGCCTTGTGTGTGCTCATGGACCAAGTTTCTGAGCCCACAGCACTAACAGTGAGTCTCTGGGTCAAGGTTAAGTTCACCAGGATGATGATGATGATGGTGATAATAGGGATAACCGCTGCCATGTGCTGAGCATCTTCTATGTGTCAGACACTGTACTATGCGCTTTATATGCTTGAACTCATTTAATTCCCACAACAATCCAATATAGGTATTATGAGTAGTCTCATTTTGTAGATGAGGAAATTGAGTCTCAGAAAGCTTTAATGACTATAAGTACATGTTTCTCTATCTGCATTGCACATGCAGACTGTGCCTCAAACTTCCAGGCAGCCATTAGGCTGCTAAGAACGAGACACATACACCCACTGGCATCAACCATTCCATGGGTGCTACGTTCATCTGTGATCAAACCAGACACAACAAGACACTTACACGGTGTTGGCAAAGTGAAGCCATTATTATTACAGAAAGCAAACATTACACAATAACAACAAATTCTCAAAGGAGAAGTGCTTACCCTTCCCCAAATTTCCCAGGTCCATTTTTATGTTGCTGGACAGATGCACCATGGCTCAGGTGCAGTGCTGTCTTCATGTCACTGCTGCCTCTGGCTACCACCATGCTGCCCAGGGCTTCTGCTCTGCTGCTGGGCCCCACTGCGCCTCACTGCCACCTGGAAGACCCCTGAACAGGATCTTTAGAGCCTCTGTCGTTGAGCCCTTCTAAGCCTCTGCTGCCAGCTCCTGCCACGCTACCTGGGCCTGCAGAGCTCTCTTGCCATCACTCTACCCAGGCCCCTGCTGCCCATGGCGGACAGGCATGCAACCCTTGCACAGGGCACACTCAGGCCTATCTTGCCAAGTACAAGCAAGTGTTGCAGCTGTTTTAGCTCTGCTGGCAAGCCTCCTGTCCAGAAGCATCTGGCTCCGCCTTGCTGTAGGAAGACCCTTACACAGGATCCTCTGAGGCAACCCCTGCATGGGGCACACTCAGGCATCTGCCCTGCCTGGAAAAGTATTACAGCTTTTCTAGCTCCACCAGCAAGCTCCTTCCTGAAGGCACTCAGCTCCTTCTCCATGGGCCAGGCAGGCTCACCCCAGCTCTCTCACTGCCTTTAGCATTCTCTCTTTCTTCTGGGTCTAGGAGGTTGTCAGCGCAGGGAACTTGGGTCCTTGGTCCAAAGGATGCCCTTCAACCTCTGTGGGATTGAATCTTTTAAGCCTAGCAAGATGGCAAAACTGACCAATCCTGTTGGTAGGCCACAGTCACCTTATCTGCATGGTCACTGTCCAACCCCTGCAAGAGTTTTACAAACCTTATTTGTATAGTCCCAGCCAATCATTTTGTGGGAGTTAGAAGACCATGGCTAGATAGGCCATATAAAAGCAATTAAAATACTACTTTGGGGGGGATAAACCCTTAGCTGTCTCCTGGCCACGCTCCTCTGCTTCAGCAGTATGTTTTGGGCTGTTCCAGTCTATCTTCGATATGACTATTCATCAGTACACCACTATTGTACAAGTCTTCAGAAAAATGCACATAATGAGTGGTAATCCACCCTTCATTTAAAGTGTAGCATGCCAAACCCTATCTCAATGAACTGCATCATCATCTACACCATACCATCCATGTTCTTAGCTGCAGGAGCCAAAAATGCGGGCCTCTCCCTTGACGTTTCCCTCTCCCTCATTACCCTTGCCACACATCATCTAATCATTTGCACATGCTTCATCAAATCTCTTCAGTGTTTTTTTAATGTGTCCCTATCTTGCTTCTCACATTGCCACAACCCATATTT